CACTTTGAGTCTACTAAACCATAAATCACCCAACCAGCTGAGTCTCAGCTTCCAAAATTTTGTTGCTATTGTCTCCTTTCGCATTATCCCCATTCTTTACTTTATGCTCGGAAAAGGTTCTTACTGTTGTTTCAGGTATTCTTGAGATAGTTAAAGAAGATGGATGTGTTTGATCCACCACTTTTACCCACAACATTTCATAGCAACATGCTTACAAGTTGGCAAGGTTTTGTGCCAGAAATAAATGCACTAGTAACAATTTTGGGTCAATATGCGTCCACAGAATGCTGCTCAACTAACAGCCAAAACAAAGCTGTAAAATTAAGATAAGAAATTACTCTTGATATTTTTTCCTCTTAGGAGAAAGCCATATGTAATTTTGGTTTCTACACTTAAGACACATATAGAAAAGCCCTGGAATAAGGGAACTAAAGAGTGATTTACAAAACAGATCACCAAGCCCATGAGTCAGAGGGATTTAACCTTAAGGCTAAGAGATATACAATTGATATTATCATGTTGTCAGTACATGATTGATTTCCTAAAAGAAATACTCTAACTTCTATTTCCTTAATGGAGTACCACAACAGAAAATGGACAATTAAACATTTGAATGGGTATTAAGAAAAACATGAATTTCTCTATTTGAAAACAACCAGTTCTGCCCAAGACAGAAGGTAGACATGGGCCAGATAACATCTTTTCTTGTCCAAACTTAGTTTCTCATCATATTAATATTAATATCTGCATTGTCTCAGTGAGCCCATTCTCCAAGGAAGCCAAACCACCAATCTCATTTGTGAAAATCATTGCTGTGTTTTTCCTTGGCAGACAGAATATATGTGTTTGTTTTATGTGTACTTCTATCCAAACTCTCTAATTTCCTGCCTCATTAGAAAGCACAGCTAAACAGTTTAATTGACTAAAGAGCCCTGGAAACAGAGACAAAGCAGCTAATACAGCTCTTTACAATTCATTTAACTGCTCAGAAACATATTTTAAATTACAGAGTATTAGGATAGGGTTCAGAAGAGGTAATTAGCCTAATGCTAAATGACTATTTCTGAGTGGATCTTAAAGCCAGATGATTTACAACTAGAATTATTTAAAATAATTTTGTTTTGCTGCAATGTTAAAATCCACCCAAAAGTACTTGTACATTCATACATTAAAGAGGAAAATTATACTGTGAATATTTGTGTTTAGACATTGAAAGTATATAAATAAAGTTATAAATACATATATAAATAAAGTATATAAATATATATAAATAAAGAAGTATATTCAATAAATATATCCAAAGAAGTATATTTCAATAAAGAAAAATGATACTGAAATACATAGGTTCTTTAAAGTATATAAAAAATTATACAGTTTCAAAGTGCAGTCATTTAGTGTCATACTGTAAAATATCCAATTTAGAATTTAAAATTTACATTCAATCAAAATTATGGGTTAATAACATATTTATTTCATATATTAAGTTACTGGAATGAAATGTATTAACACCAACCAGATAGCCCAGGTAGTCAGGTAATAGTCTTATGAAAGACTAGTAATTTAACATCATTCCTTGGAGTTAACATTCATGAGAGCCCGGAACCTTTGAGTCTACAGCTAGGGATTTTAGTCCTGTCGCTGCTGTGATGCTTCCGTTCTGCTTGCTTTGCGACTCCAGGATGTGATCATAGAGGGATTGCTCTTTGGCTGATAGCGCTCATGCTCAGCATCTGCTGAGGCTTCTCCCTTAGTTATGCTACATTAATTTTCCTACATTTTCTAAGCAACTTTAAGTGCCTAGGTTCTCTTCAACTTTTTTATTGAAAGCCCATAGAAAAACAAGTTTTATTCAGAACTTACTTTGTATCAAACAATTTGCAAACAAACCCATGTTCAGCTGAAACTTGCTTTTGTAGTTCAATTAAAGAAATTGAAATGAACAGACTGGAGAAAATTCAAGTGACTCTAGGTCCGGCCTTCTCTTGTTCTAACCAACAGCTACCATTTACAGTATGTTGCTACCATTGGGTATTTACTTATAAAATAAACACTACTTGCATTAATACGAGTTTTATGGAAGATTTTTATAAACCAAGCCTAGACTGAATGTTTTACACTTAAGATTTCTTATTGCATACTCCATGTATCCTTCAAAAATTATGTCACTTTTCTAAATAAAATCATTTGAATTACTAAGAGAATTTGCTTTTTGAAGGAATTACATGAAAAGAAAAAGAAACAATGTGGTTAATAGTATAAGAATATGTCCTCTTCCAACTATTGTAAATTTAGTTTTCCATATACTAGGTTTTAAATATGTGATAAATACAAAATATAAACTAAGTTTAAATAAAGTCCGGTGATAAAGTGTACGTCTAATAGAGTTTGAATGAATTAACAATGCTACCAAAATTAATTTCAAAGATTGGTACAATTTGGATATGCTTTTGAGGTAAAAGTTAAAATAAGCAAAAGTTACATAATGGTAAGTGTAATTCGAGCATAACTATTTAAGGAAGTAATCCTGGGAAGGTGTATAATTATATTGTATAATACATTCTTGATGTGTTGTATCAGACTTTTCCTAATCTGTACAAGATTTGTAGTAAATGAAGCTTATAAAAGTCTGGATAATAGTACTTCTTTCAGTGATAATCTCTCCTTGATTCTTAAAGAGCAGTTAATACAGAAAGTATAAAATCCCTAAAACAAGATACTGTTTATGAAAAACTGTTCAATCAAATGAGCTATAATCTACCTTATTTAGAAATTTTAAAATTTCTTACATTTTCATGTTTACATTCCTTGAACATTCTTGTGTTCCGGGTCCTCTAAATTTCCTGACTATTACAACTTTCTACACTTACATTCAATTTCATCTAATAGAGTGCAATGTTAGTAGCTCTCTAAGTAACAATGGTTGCACCTCACTATGCCAGCAACAGAGGAGCTTTCGTGGGCTATTGCTTTCTCCCCTGGACTCTCCCCCAGGGCCCAGAGAAGCAGTGTCGGGCTCCAGGAAAGTAAGAGGACACTGGGAAATTCCTTGAGACAGCATCCTTGTTTGTTTAGGCAGTACTTAACTGATGAAGGTTGCATGACTGAATGCTTACAAAAAATTGGGGTTTATTTATCAATATTTTTAAGTATCTCGAATAATTCTTCATTTTCCCATAACTTGAATGTTCTTAATTTCTGTGCTGTCTTTGGGTTTGCAGAAATGTACAGAGCATTTTATTTTGTCAGAATTAAGTCAGAATTAAGAGGAAACGCTGATCAGAACCAATGCTGGATATTTTTCTTTGACCAAATTGGATATCCTTCCTACTACAACCCTGACTGAAGAAAGGCCTCACTAACTAAAAATACAACCATAAAATAACCAAACAGTGGGCCTGGGGATTTAGCTCAGTGGCACAGTGCCTGCCTGGCAAGCGCAAGGTCATGAGTTCGATTCCTGGTACTGGGAAAAAAAAAAGGTAAAAATTAATTGTTGACAAAAAAACCAGTGATTTGCCCATTATAGAGCTTAAATAATGACATCATAATGTAGCCAATGACTGTCTTTTTCTATCAATATTGGAGTTTGAACCCAGGGCCTTCACACTGAGCTACATCTTCAGCACTTTTTAAATATTTTTTTAAATTCTGAGACAGGGTTTTGCTAAATTGGCCAAGCTGGGCTCAAACTTGCAATCATCCTGTCTCAGCCTCCCAGAGTGCTGGGATTGCAGGCATGTGCCATGACTATCTTTTCAATAAATAATCCTATTAATTTTGCTGAAGTTTAACAACTTTCAATACTATGAGTTGTCTATTTTTGCATTAAAAATACTTAGAAAATTTAGAGGCTGAAAACAATAAATATTCATCAGCTCATATTTTTTGCAGTTTGGGATTTGAGGGGTGGCTTAGTTCTGACTGTAGATGTATAGTGAAGTTAGGCTGTTGCTCAGGGCTGCATCTTTGCAAAGGCTTGAGTAGGGATAGATGTGCCTCCAGCAACATACGGCAGTGGGCATGTGGCCTCATGTGGGCCTCTGTGTGGGACATCCTGAATGTTCTCTCTACATGATAGCTGCCCCCCCATAGTGAGAAGTGTGAGAAAGAGCAAGTAAAAAGCCATGGTGTATTTTACTACTTATTCTCTCTACTTCCACATCAATTCTGCTTTTTTTCTGCTGACAAGAAATAAAAGCCAGGTGTGGTGGCACATGCTTGTAATCCCAGCACTCGGGAGGCTGAGGCAGAAGGATCTTTGTGAGTTTGAGACCAGCCTGGGCTACAAAGTGAGCTCAAGGCCACCCTGAACTGCATAGCAAGACCCTGTCTCAAAAAGACAAAAAAAATAAAGAAATAAAAAGTCCAGCCCTCACTCAAAAAATAGAGGAAATGAGGCAGGTGTGTTGATACACACCTGTAATACCAGCACTTTGAGAGGCTGAGACAAGGGGATCATAAATTCAGGTCTTCTCTGGGAAAAATAGGGATACTCTGTCCTGAAAGAAAAAGGAGCTAGAGTTGTAGCTTAGAGATGGAGTGACTGGGTTCCATCCCAATGCTCCCCAAAAATGAAATAGCCCCCAACCTTGGAAGGGAGTGTTAAAGGATCTGTAAACATGTTTTAAATCAGCACACATACATTCACAACATTGTGGGGAAGTGTCTTAAAGTTTCAGCATCTGAACCTGAATTCATCCCACTAGTCATAACCAGGAGTTAATCGGATTTCAGGCTAGTGTTCTGCCTACTTGACATAGCATCTCAGGAACACTAAAGATGCTCAGACCCTCCTAAGCAGCTCTGCTGTTCTTCCTCTGCATTCCATCAACTTTGTATAGTAGTGTCTCATCAAAAACAACAAAAAATACCAATCAGACCACCTGTAAAGTAGACATATTTAAATTGAATTATTTTTAACTTCTTGTAACAAGCCATCAAGATTTTGACCAAAATATTTCCATTCCATGGTATATTTCTCTTTTCTTTCATAAATGAAGAGCGGATGGCTGTGTTTCTATCCCAGCTCAAGCTGCCGGCAGCAATGTTGGCGGCCCAAGCTCATGGGCGGCCTGGCCCGCCGGGGAAGGATGGGTTACCCGGGCCACCAGGAGACCCTGGACCCCAAGGTAAGTCCCTCAGGTGGAATATTCATTTACCAGTTTCTTAGCCCTCAGGCTTTATGATGTGCTAGCTACCGTTAAAAGAATATACATGTAATATATGGAAAAGGATTCATATGGAAAATCTTGCTAATATTTAATTGTCTAAACACACATATTTAACTAAACAAATTTAAAACTGATCTGCTGCTACTTAAAAGGCATTTTAATATTTAGTATAGCAATAACAGCAGTAAGGTATGTTTCTCTATCATTCTCTAGACAGTGAGACTTCTTGAAAAGTGTCTTAGATTCTACTAGAAATGATCATCTGGGTATAAAGTATATTTCTGAGGAAATTTAGAATCCTTCCATTTTAATAGAGCTTGTAGGTAGTAACTTTTGAACTTGAATTCCTCGTATGGCTCCTAAAGGTATTTAAGCCAAACGATTTACATTGGCAAGAAAAAAATCACCCCACTAGAGACGAGAAGTGAGCCCACATTTGACCACTTGGTAGAAATATGGTTAGCAGTCAGTAAATTTGTCAAGTAGGCCTGGGTTTAGAAGCTTCACAAATTCTAGTAAGAAAATACCAATTTAGAGTATATACTTCCAATGATTAAAAACAAAAATACACAGAGAACCTGCCCCTGCCAAAACTATTCCCAGGAATTTGGGGCAGGGGTAGGGGACTGTTCACCTTGGTTTGCTTTAAATTCTCCAACATCCATTTTCAGGTACTGTCTACTCGGAATCAGTCCCAATAGGTTCCACTAAGGAAGACTTAAGTGCTCCTCCTCTGGTACACAGATGAATAGACACAGATGCACAGAAAAGCGGCCACCGGCAAACCAGTTTCCAGAAGTGGCCAGACAGCCATAGCCACGGCAGGAGAGGGAAGCCTTAGATAGAGGGACGTGCTGAGTTCTCCAGGGTGCGTGCCTGGGGGACTCTCACGGGGTCCCTTGACTGACTCACCAGACAGAGGCAGAGGCAGGTCAGGACAAGAAGAGGAGTGACATCAAGGTCTGGTCTCAATGCTTTGACGATCCTGGGGACCCCTCCAAGTGGTTGTCCCTCTGATGTGGCGAGCCAGGGGCAAGGCTTCCACTCCCGACTGCTGCCAAGCAGAAGCCAGTTAGTGAAAAGGGCAGGCGGTGCTGGGGAGACTTTCCTTGGAGTCCTTGGTTCACACCACAGATCAGCAGCATGAGGCCTGCCTGTTGGTGCCCCAGGTGAGAGAAGTGTACTCCACCGGGACCCAGGTAGCCCCGAAAAGCATCATCCAGCTGAGTTCCCCTATGTAAATAGGACAGGCAGTTTTTTCTACCAGACCTTATCTTCTTGGGTAAGCCCTTTTTATGTCCAGAGGTGCCCCCAGGTAGGATTAATTGCAAAAAGGGCGGGATGCACCTACTCCACATGCTCACATCAGTTTTGAAAGGACAATTTTGGGAGTAGCTGTTCTTATTTTTTAATTTAAAGCTTAGCTATCACTGACTTATAAATGAAGGAAACTTATCTGTGTTTTGTAATCCACTGGCCCACAAGATAATTTATATGATTGGTATACATTGGCCCTTTCAGATCTGTTAGCAGTGGCACCTTTGGAAACGGAATTGGGTTGGGTGTGGGAGGGAGGGTAGGGACCAAAGGCACTGACGTTGATTCTAGCACCAGAACCAGGCTGAGCAACTTGGAAGGCAAGAGGCAGACCCCACCCAGGAGACTAGTTCCTCCCCTCGTGCCAGGAGCAGCTTTCATTTGGCCCAATTTAACCGGTGTTCATGTAGATGTACAAATGCCCAGTCTTAGAAGTATATCTCCCTGCTAGAAGTAAATACAGAGAAATTACACCAAGCCCCAGGTTTCATCAGAGATGGGTGCCATGACATACCTTGCACGAGGCCAGTGCCGTTCTAGCTCTGCTGTCCTGCAAAAGCTGCTGTGACACCCAGCTGTCATCCTGTGCACTTAGAGTCCATGGAAGTGCATGTCTCTTTGCAAGTAGATTAGTCTTTTCCAAATGTAAAGGAACCCGCCGAAAGAAGTGAAAACCTGCATTCTAGAAAAAGAAAGCATCCCTAGCTACAGTTTTGTTATGATGCAACTATAAAGTAAGATCCTATGGCTTTATAGCAGTCAACATAATTAATAAGCTTAGGAGTTTATTGGAAAATTCAAGAGTAGAAAGATCTCCTGCCTGTCTTCAATTCAGTTCTTTTAGCTACGGCTAACAGAGAAGTAGTTATTAACTGAAAAACTTGTGCAAAGAAATTGTTACATTTGACAGGAGGAGGATAAATATGGCCTTCTGCAAATATACAAGTTATCACTTCTTGTTGTGTGATACTATACAGCTGGAAATCCATGTGGGATAATATATTTTGACATTATGTTAAAATCTGAGAATTGATTTTCAGCAAGTAGGTTTTTTCATATGTGTTCTTTATTTGGAATTATGTTACTGTCTTATTAATCCTCTTATTTATCAAAAGCTATATATTTTTTTTCTTCCTCATTTTAGCCTATTATACTTAGCCTAAGTACTTACTGAGATAGTTTGAGGGTCAACTTTATAATATTTATGTAACAATAAGACCTGGTCTGAGCTATCCAAAAAGCTTCAGATAATAAAAGCTATTTTACTCCAGAAATGTTTAAATGATGGATTTGAAAGGGTGCTTTCAAGCAACCCTATGTACAAACATCTTTCTTTGTTGCTCATATATATTAAATCAAAGGCACTTATATCAAAGAAATCGTGGAAATGTTTTAAATGTGGATACACATGTTCAAGCCACTGTTCTGTCCAGGATCTGTGATTGTGCTGAACATGTTGAACATAGTTTCCATATATAAATGTGAAAATGCCCGGTTCAGCACATTTCCAATGTACACGTCAACATGGTTCTGTATCATGTCTTTTTTGTTTGTTTGTTTTTGTTTTTGTTTTTGTTTTTCTCCGGTACCAGGAACCAAACTCACGACCTTGCGCTTGCCAGGCAGGCGCTTTGCCGCTGAGCTAAATCCCCAGCCCCTGTATCATGTCTTTTTTCCCCAGTATTTTCACTTTTATGGTCAGATCACATCTCTAATACAAAGAAATCGCAATGTGGTGATTGCATGTCTGATGTGCTTCAGACCATAATGTGTGTATTGTGTGGTCAAGTCAGAACTGAGAATGATCACCCCAAAATCACCCCAAAACTGGGGCTAACTCTTCACAGCAGCAAGAACTAATGTATCATTATACTGCATGAAATTTCCTCCCGCTGCCGTGCTCTGCTGTGGAAATATACCTTTATGAGAAGGTACAGCTGAGGTAGCCCAGCTGTATCCTGTGGGATGCTGTCCATATCCATGTCATGTGTCTACATGATTCTGTGTGGCTGCTATGTTCATCTGGAAGCAAGGAGATCTTTAAACTACTGTACAAGCAGTTTTGTTTTTTTTTTGTTTTTTTGGTAATGGGAATCGAACTCAGGACCTTGTGCTTGCAAAGCAAGGTGCTATGCCGCTGAGCTATATCCCCAGACCTGTACAAGCAGAAAAAGAAAGAAAATGCTATTGACCATCACTGTAAAACTCTGATGGCACAGAACACTTTCTTCAAAATAGTACATGGGTTCCAATAAATAAAGTACAGATAAACCTGCTTTTTGCTTTTTTAAAGCACACATAAGGGCTCTTAGAGGCACAAATTGATTTTATCTCAGGCAACAAGAAACATACTCAAGCATCAGTGTGATTTTTTATTATCATGTGCACAGATCTACAACCTAATTCAAAAGATCTCACACCATCTTTGTTAAAGTGCTTTCTTGTTTGGTTGTTTGGTTGGTTGATTGGTTGTTTGTTTGGTTGGTTGGCTGGATTTTTTGTTTGATTTGGTTTGGTTTAGTATTTTTGGTGCTGGGGATTGAATCCAGTACGTGCTTGTACTGTAACACTGAGCTGCGTCCCTAGCCCTTGTTAAAGTATCTTAAGCTGATGGAGGAAGCACATTTGAAGGACCCCTCAATCTCGTATTTTCTAGTAGTGTTAAAGTTCCTCACAAAAATCTACATAGCCGGCACTTTTTCTAAGCACTTGCTTCTAAAGTCTAGTTTCATTATTTAATTATTAAGTAAAAGCTCCGTGAGTTTTTCCTACTGTGTGCTAACAGCTAGTGATGTGATGTCACACCTGAATCCCTTCAATTTTTAATCGACGAGGAACCTTTCTTTGCCTTCCCTGAACAATTGTACGATCTTTTATTTTTATCCTTTAAGATGCTTTATACATTACTATAACAAAAAACATAAACTGGCTTGTCAAAAAATAAGGTTACTCTTAATTTTTTGTAAAAGGAGATTATTATTATTATTATTGTTATTATTATTAGTCACTTGAACAAAGACCTCACTCTGGATGAGCTGACTGGCATATAGTCACACTCTTACTCTCACAGACTGAGTATCACCAGTTGTTTGTTCCTTTCCATCTTGGGCTAAGGTCCAGATTCTTCTGTCATCTCGTCCTAATACTAAGCAGGACTTTCTCCACATTTTACCTTTATTTCGCCTCTATCTAGGTTGTGTTCAGAATTCCTGCTGAAGCATGTTCACACAGAGCTATTTGAAAGAAGATATGATAAATTTGAGTCATTTAAGTGTCATTTTCAGTGCCAAAAGTCTCACTATCCAAGGTTTGACTAGTTGAGACTTTTTAGTAAGAGCTACACATTTTTAAGATCTTCATTGCCTAATCCGATATGTAAGTTCAAAGTGTGGGTAATGCAAAACAGATAGCGAATATATGATGTATGTTAAGTAAAGAAACTGCAGAAACATCATAGACTCAGAAAATACCCAAAATGTGTTACACTGCCATAGCCCATTCTTATGACTCCCTCTTTTTCATTGCTCAGGGTACCGAGGACAGAAAGGAGAAAGAGGGGAACCTGGAATCGGGTTGCCAGGGAGCCCAGGACTTCCTGGGACTTCAGGTAATGGTGACACTGTCTTATCAACACAAGACTCAGAATGGAACTCCTCTTCCTGCAGTACATGTGTCCAGTTACATGTTGGTTGGAGGGAAAGACAGGGGTCCACACATGCTCTGTATTCTGATAAGGTCTTTTATTTCATCAGCACCTGGCTCCCCTGGTGCCCCAGGCTCCCCAGGTGCTCCAGGACCCCAAGGGCCCCCGGGGCCCAGTGGAAGGTGCAGCCCAGAAGACTGCCTGTATCCTGTGTCTCACGCCCATCAGCAGACAGGTGGGAAATGAAGACACCAGAGGAAGACTTGCTCCCTGGCCTCATCTCCTTATCACTGGAGCCATCTTGATTCTGTCAAACTCTCATATTTGTGGGCTGCTTTTTTGTTCTCTTTCCTGGTGTAAGCCAAACATTACAAGCAACAATTTGGATCCTAACCCTATAATAATTTCAAATCAGCAGTTTTAGATTTTTTTCCAGATTTATTCTAAATGTTTCCTTTTATCATTACTATGACTTTTATTCAGAGTTTTATATGAAATACGCAAACAAACCTTGCAATTCGTTCTTCAAAGAGAAATTATATCATATGACTGGTAGATTGATGATGAGGCATGTTTTGTAAACTCATCAATGTGTGGTTGACCTTGGATTTCTAAATTTTAAAGCATCAGAATTTTAAAACATGAAGTTTCCTTCACGTTTAAATTTACTGCCATTGTTAAAAACGTTGTTAGCTTTCTCGATAGTGCATTGTTCCTGTTGAGTCTTTGACTGCTTTTTAACACAAAGAATTTCTGTGTCATCCTACATCTCTGCTACTTATGCAGAAAAATATATAGGCAATAAGAGCTTCATTTTATAACTTCTGACAGGGGGCTATTTCATCAGGAAGCCCAAGAACTCACCATAGCCAACAAAAAATGATTTTGTAATTCTTTATAGTGAGCTCAAATCAAAGCAATCACCACTGGCAGGAACACACACTGCATGTGGGGGAAAAGGAACAAATTCAGATGGTTTAGGAATTCCACAAGAGGGCTGGGGATTTAGCTCAGCGCCATAGCCCCTGCCTGGAAGCACAAGGTTGTGAGTTCGATTCCCGGTACTGGAAAAAAAAAAAAAAAAAAGAATTCCACAAGAAAACCTAACATTCTGGTCTCTTCAGAGAATAATTCCTTTGGTGAGCAAATGAAAGCTGTTTCCCCTACGAGCTATTTAGTGGTGGTAGTGCAAAGCTGTTCTTCAGCACTCCTGAAGCTTAAATATCCTGGCAAGATGGTTGGATTCACCAAAACCATTATTCAGACCTCATGACCCTCTGACTTCAGGACAAGAACTGGCCATCACAATGAAAGATAGGACGTGTAGTGACTGAACAAGCAACCTATTTGCCCTAGAAGATGAATGTGTGGGATCAGCAAGTGTGAAGCGCCACAGCTCCTAAACAGAATGGTTTCCTCAAGGACTGTGGCAAGAGGAACAGCAAGGGACGGCCACAGCCAGGCGGGCCACTAGCCATCAACACAAGAGGCACACTCCCTTCAAAACTCGCCCTGGAAAGGAAACTTTAGAAAGAGTCTCCATCAGCCAAATGATTACACGGTGTTTTATTGCCTGCCTGTACGACATCTCAAGACAGTCTGGCTGAAAGCCACTTACAATCTCCAACACTTAGCATGGGGATGTCACTGAGGTCTCACTGCTGGGTCCCACGGAAGCAGAAAGCATCGCCACCACTAGCCTCCTGTCTCCGCAATTGGTTCACACCTTGACAGGGAGCAGCAAAAGCTCCAAGTTAGCAAATGTATGGTAGGATGATTGCTTTTGTCTGTGAATTGAAAACTGAGTCCAAGGAAAGCAAGCCCACTGAAATTGGCAGAAGCTGTGACTCGAGCTATGCCTGGGACGCACCCCAAAATTAAGGCAGGGTTTGTGTAAATGCACCCATGCTTTGAACTGGTTTTCTTTATGGATGAATGCACTGCTGGTCAGGTACTGTTGACATGGCTGTGCGTATGTACAACCTTTGAGCTATTTCATATCGAATTTTGCTGTATATTTTAATTTCACATTTATTTATTGTATTTTCCAAGGTTATTTTAACTTTTTAACTTTAAATTGATTTTCTTCCTCACTTTCTTTCCTGTGCAGTAGCTACAATGGTGCTGTGTTTTAAACTTTACATAATTGGAATATACATATGTTGTTTTACATATGTGTTTTCTTAGTAAATTGATACTTTTTCCCCAGAAATGTACATAGATTTAAAATCTGGTGCTATGTGTATATCTTGAGATTTTAATTTGTTGAATTTTTCCGAAAGATTACAACTTATGTGACACATTAATTTACTTGAATTTGTTTTTAAAGCTAAATATGCTCATGTTTGCAAAGATTATTTTTTCATATTAATTAATAGGTTGTTTATCTTTTTGCTTCTTGGCTAATTCAAAAATATTTATTTTATCATCTTAATGTTTTCTTCAACTTTTTGCTGATAGTGAACCATTTATTTTTTAGTGGACACTTTCATATGTACAAAAAGATGAGACTCATTTTCTTGTTTTGCAAATTTTGTTCACCTTAATTCTATAGAATATGCCATGCATCCTTTCTTACAAATTGTGTGGTTAGGAATCTTTCTTTTTTAAATTCCATGAATGCTTAACTGGTTTATTCCCATTTCAAGGATTTGGATTTATTTTGATGAGTACAACAGGGTGGAAGTAAAATATGTTATATGGTGCATATTACAAAGTGAAGCGATCACAGTGATTCGAGCTCATCTTTTGCAACGGAGACATAAGACTAAATGTGACCTAAAGAGAAAAACAGGGCTGTGTCATGTAGTATGGTGATATAAACCTCTCGTCCACTGTTATTATTTGCCTTCACACACTTTGTCCTGCCCCAGTCCTATCCACAGGATGATGAAGTGGAGATTTGGCGGAAGAACAATTCCTTTAATAAAAACAAAGTGGATAATCTGAGCCTCAAAGTAGGGTGGGAAATTTCCCTCTGAATAACTTGGTTATGGTTGCCAATTCTTTTATAACATTTTGCTCCATTCCAAAACATTTGTCTACTCCCAAATACTGTCAGTGACATCCACAGAAGGGAGGAATTAATTCTCTCATTTCTACAGACAGCGTAAGTTGTTCAATATAATTATGGGGCATGATGACAATAGTAGAACTGGGTTTTTTTTTTATTTACAGGTATATTTGAATTCCAGTCTTAAATTTTATACCAAGATCAATTTACACTTTTAGATAGAAATATGCCTATACAAAGAATAAGATTTAACTTCATTATTTGCGGCCATTGGGATCTAAAGAAAAAAGGAAGAATAAGTCATACATTTGCTCACTGCTCTTTCCAACTAAAGACATGAGCTGTTCCTTCTAACTATAACACAACACAGCCAGTGTTCACTTTGGAAACTCCACAGTAATTTAGTGTAACTTCACAGTATTCCTATATATTTATTTCTATATTTCATGATATTGTTGAAATTTTTAAATTTTAGCCACTTATAAAGCTTAAGTAATCATTTCAAGATGTCTGTAAAAATTGTCACTTGATGTTTGGCTTATAAAGTAATTCTTTGTGACTGTATTTTAGGCATTTGATAAGGTCTACCTTTTCTGCAGTCTCTCCCACCTGTTGGGAGCCTCTGAAATACCTCCTTTCGTCCACAAGATGGTGGTAGACTCTGTGACGGGAATAGATTCACAGAACTGCAGGCTAAGAATAGTTTACGGACATCAAAATTACACCTTTCCCTTGCACCTTTTTTTTAAACTTTTGTAAATAGCTTTTGTTTATTTATGTTTTGCTAATTTATATTTTTCTAATTTAAGTACCTTTATGAAACAGGCACAACCACCTTTGGTTTGTTCACTGTTTCAATTTTATTTCTTCAGTGTATATATACTTATATACCTAGCTGGTATGCAGATTTACCATTTGTTACTTTGTACACTACCCTCATGTTTTAGTGATTAATATTAAAATATCTAATTAGTTATCCTACATTTTAGAAAAATATTCTCCATTCACAGGCAAGTCAAAAGTATTTAGCTTATCACAAAAAGTAAATCATAAAATTACACACTGTCTAACCTCCATATTGCTCAAGACTTAGTTTTGCAACTAGACCTGTATAACACTCATATTTTTCCTGTCACTATTTACAAAGATAGAGATACTGTTTTTGAAACTACCAGTTTTCTCCTAAGTTGTTAATAATATCCTGAGACTAAGAACTCCAGGGCTAAGACATATGCTGAAGCTGTTTTAGTGAAGCTTCAGACTAGTTCTACAGATTTGTTCCTGAACCTAAAAAGAATTTAATTAGTACCTTTCTGCCTATGCATTTCAAAGCGGCTTAGCCCATTGAATTGTGTTCATTTATTAAAGTAGCATTAACTACATTAAATTTGTGCAAATACTGGGCGTCTCCAGAAACAGGACAAATGGTCATTTTCATTCTTCCTTTCTGATGTAGCTACAGCTATGATCTGAACGTCTCACTACACAAAAGCATGCCAGAATAACTGGTCAGTTGAGTCTGATTAAACTGAATGGAGCACCAGTTGATCACAGAGATAACTCATTCAGGCAAGCAGACTAGCATGGAAAAAAATTTACCTAAAAGATAAAGAGTGTAAAACCAAAGCTAAGTCTAAGAAAAGCTAATGCGATAACAATTCAAGTTCAGACTCAATAGTGAGTGACATGATACAAGTCAAAAAATTTGTCAAAAGTTAATAATAAAGTGGAAGGTCTCCTTAAACTTAGGGGGTAGTTATATAGGATTTAAATTTAATGGAAATGTGTGTGCCACTTGACCATAATAAGCTCATGAGTGTAAAACACTAGCTATTTTGCAACTTTTTATTTTGCTGTGTTATTTAAAGAATACTTGGGGGATATTTTTAGCATGTTGATGTATTTAAAGTTGGATTGTATTATGGTATATTTTATAACTATTTATTTGTAAAATAACTTTTGGGATATATTTTCCTCCATTTTGTTTGTTCTATATATTACCCCATCGCACTCTTTAAAGTTTAATTCATTATACTCATGTTAAATGGGATGGCACTCATTTTGTTCTAAATCCCAAGTGGATAAAATACTTTGAGGCCTTGATTCTTATATCTTTATTATGCATAATGATCTTGTTGCCTATCTTAGCAATAAAGGCTTTGACCCTAAATCAGGGAATTCTAAGGTGCAGTTATTAATGTCGTATCTACTCGTCCTCACTTCTTGTGGCTGAAGCTCCAGGTTTCCGGTCTATTCAACCATGGTAAAGCAATAGCGTTCTCTTAACAAAGGTCAGTCACAGACATCCGGTTGACCCGGAAGTGATCTCCCGCTGGGTTCATGTTAAAACCATGCAGGTAATTACAGTTTTGTTTGTCACATAAACTATCAGTTTGTAATAATTAAATGTGTAACCTATCTCTCCAGTCACTCCTAACAAGTTAGTCTAAGGATTTCAAGTGAGAATTTTAAGCAGAAACAAAAATCAGAGTGGGTATATAATAAGATTGTCCTTTAAGAGTCCTTTAAGATGTTTGTGCCCCAAAGTGATGGCCTCACTAAAATCATTTGAGACTCGCTGATGTAAAGGTCTCTGTGTGAGATAAGATATACCACAATTAGGGGCTGGGGATTTAGCTCAGCGGCAAAGTGCCTGCCTGGCAAGTGCAAGGTCGTGAGTTCGGTTCCTGGTACCGGAGAAAAACCAAAAAAAAAAAAAATATACCACAATTAACTTTCCTCAGAACCTAAGCTCTTAGATCACTGATGATAAGATAGGCAGACCCACAGTACTTAATATGCATAGCATGTTTTCTTAACAGAAATTAACTACATCAAACATGCCAGTGGATTTCCACATTTATTTAGACTGGATAGTGACGTACATAGTTTTTAAGTCTTACCTTCAAATCCCCCTATGATAAATCAGCTAGGCGCTCTCTAAGAAAAGCTGTTCTTCCACATGCAAATGTCCATCTTGGAAGCCATAGACAAATTCAAATAAATCACAGAAATAAAGCTTCTCTGAGCAAATTTTCCTCGTTTGTCCTCTCTCCAGTTATTCTTTAATAAATTGGAGTCAAGGGCAAGATGTGAAGGCATGTTAAAGAGAAAATTAATATGAACTGCCATATATTAAGATGAAAAATAAGGATTGATTAATATCCTCTTCCCGATAACCAGACTACTCAGATATTACACTGCCTTGATAATTAAATAGCATGTGAGCAGCCATACTTATAAACAATAATATAGTCAATTTGGATTTAATATTTAGTATTTACTGAGTCCTATGTACTTAATACCTTCATATCCAATATTATAGGTTGAAAAGACTACGCAATTTAAAAGAATCTTACCACACGAAAAGAGGGCTTGGCCTGTATTTTCCTAACACAAACAATCTTTTTAAGAAGAAATCTAGAGTTATTTCTGTGCTTAAATTATCCATTGTCAACAGCAAGGTAAATAATACATTAGCATTTTTTCCTCAATAGTGTTTCTTCACTGCTTTTGCTAATGCTACCAACAAATGTTTAAATGTAACTTTCTTGATATTTGAAATGATTTTACGTATCTCTAGTAATTTTTCCACCTGTACTGGTTTATTTTTAAACTTGGAGATTTTTATAATACCTCATAAGACCACAACAGCCAAAAAAATTGATACAAGTACAGGTGGTCTTCTAAAATAGAGATTTACACTAATTAAGCTCATTTCAGGAGGCAAGTAAATCAGATCTCACCACTGACATCTACACATAGCAATATCAATTTAGCCAGCTTAAGTGTAAAGTAGCTCAAGTCAGTCACCTAAACTGGTATGACTTCTCATTCATCTTGTACTGTCAGATAGAAAGAGAACTTTCCAAAACCATCCCAGTAATTTTGTATGCCCAGTCAGGTTGGAAAGTGAGTTTCATAGTCCTTAGTCAACATTTCAGATATTTGGGATGAAAATTACATCATACTGCCATGGAAGCATCGACCAGAAATAAATCAGAAATCATTTGCTCTTGATTAACATGCCAGTTTCTAATTATTTAATTACTTTAATTATTTGCACATTCCTCTCTTTGCAAGCACTCCTCTGACACCTCACCCACTGTTAAAAAAAAAATAGTTCAAGGAGGACTAAAGGCTTCGTTTTGCTAAACAGACATAGTTGGTCTAATTCAATAGTTATTGGCTCTCTTTCACAGAGATTTGCTGGACACTTTTCTTTGCGATTTCTTAGTCAAGTATTTAGTGCTTCTGTAAGTGATTTTACTTAACTGAAATTTATAATGGATTGTTCCACCATTTGAATGTGCTAGTTTTACATAATCTATTTGTAATTGGTTGTTTCCAGTGTTACTTGCTGTATTCCTGGAGCTTGTTATACAGCCTTGATATACATCAGATTTGTAAAACAGATGAGTGAACTGTTCTTTGAAACTTTATTTTTTTAAATTTTCTTATGAACACGGTATTATAGAACTGAGAAACATGTTTATTTGATTTTTTTGTTGTATCTGATTATGTCACTCTAATTCAAATAAAAGCACTTTGGTGAAAAGATAATTTCTTTGAACTTTTTGTATTATGTATCACAGTTCCTGAAAAAGTGTACCACCTTTACAAAGATTGTTTTATGAAACTACAGCAGGGGGTGGAGACGGAGCTCAGCAGCAAAACACCTGCCTGCTAAGCACAAGGTCCCGAGTTCGATTCCTACTACAAAAAATATATAGCAGATACTTCTGTTTTCAAAAATTATCTCCCAGGTAGGAGGAAGACCATCCTTTCAGTCTGCATAAATGATACTAATATATGTAACCCGGTTGGAATCTCTCTCCTGACGACAATTCATGTTAGAATCATAGAACTAGATACTGTAAATAATTTAAAAGAAATTCAAATACAGATCACATAATGATTGATTTAACAAACAGCTCAGAGCAGAATTTTAAATACAGAAAGGACATATGAGAAAATTGATATAAAAAATCCTATTAGGACTTGAACTCCCTTGACTTGAAAGTATTGAGTTGCATAAACTTGGTGAAAATATTGACAACATTGAGTTATCATTCTATACCTGGCACAGAAAAAATACAATAAGTGGCACCAAAACAGAGTAGAGGAATCATTTCTGGTTCTTCTTTAGCATAGTAGGGTAACTACTGGTTAAGACAATCAATGGTATATTTCAAAATAATTGGAAGAGTACAAAATTCCCAACACATAAATACGATTACTGCTTGAAGAGATGAAAATACTTATTACCCTGATTTAATTTTTGCATACAGTATACATGTATTAAATTACCATAGTGCACCCCACAGAAGTGAACACATAGTATGTATCAATTAGAAAAGAGAATGCAGTGCTTTAGCTGAGCTGTTTTATGAAATGTATAAGAAATTGTGAAACGTACATCATTTTGCAGCAGTGAATTTCTTTTTTTTTGTTTGTTTGGTTTTTTTTTTTTTGGTTTTTCTCCAGTACTGGGAACTGAACTCACGACCTTGCGCTTGCCAGGCAGGCGCTTTTGCCACTGAGCTAAATCCCCAGCCCCCAGCAGTGAATTTCTGATTGGAAGCTAACAAGCTATGGAAATGAAGGCAGGGCTTCTTCACCAAGAGAACAAGTGAAACTAGACTTAAAGGAGTCCATGCAATCTCTGGAACACTATGCAAAAAAAAAAAAAATGTATATATCCACCTGGGCATGGTTCTGGGGGTAGATTTAGAGTTTTCATTAGAATTTCAGAATGATCCACAAAGTTCATTCATATTCATTCATTTATTCATTCATCCTCTCTCTCCATCACCTTACCACCCCCACCCAATCCCAGGGTAGTATCTGTGGCACAGTAAAGGTTTTCTAAATTTCTCTTTGTACTAAAAAGCACTAATAATATACACATACACCTGTAGAAACACCAGTAATTTAAAATTTTAATGTATCTAAATAAGCTCAATGACGTCATTGAACATGATTATTTATAAGAAAACATGCAAGAGATCCAGAAATCATATTTATTTCTTCTTTGGTAAAACCAGAGATGTTACTGCAAACCTTTAAAATAAATAATCTCATCAGTAAAACTTTAGAGCACCAGGGTATTAAAATCCCTTCTTTGCTTTCACATAGATGAGCTTAAAATATTCATGGGTTTGGATGCAGTACATACAATTCAATGGAAGCCCAGAATGGCCATAAAAACCAGCAGAGGATGGAAGGAAATCCTCGGCTGCACTGCACCCAGCCCTCCCTCGCCCCTGGAGTGAGCAGGTCAGTGGGCATTTCAGCACCTATCCTACTTGAGTAGTGGAGTTTCTTCATAGCTACGCTAGTCACCCTCTGTGCAACTGAATCAACAACCCAGGACATCTAAATTAAAAATGAAAATAACTGCTGCAACTGAGGTACACAGACTGTTTTTGTTTATTGGCACCGTGGCCCACAATATTACGCCACATATGTATAGCACACTGAAAAGTCCAAGATCCTGCGAAGAGAACTGTACACTTAGTTCAAGAGAATTGGGATTTCTTTTGCTGGTGACTCCCTATCTTCCATGCAAGGGAAAGGGAAAGGGATTTCTTGGATAGCACCATTGTTCTAGATTGTCCAGGGGGACCTGTGCAGTTAGCCTGAAGGTCACGCCTGATCCGCCTCACCCCTGCATCCGGCAGGGTCTCTCCCTGAAGCTCTTCCCCGGGTGTGGTTTCTGCAGCAGCTGTGCAGCCCTAAACCGGTCACTGGTCAGGGCCTTTGCTAAACGCTCGCTGACCAGCCTGCAGGGTGCAGGAAGCTGGCTCACAGAATCCAGGAGGACCAGGAGGCCCCGGGGGACCAGGCACACCAGGAATTCCGGCCACCCCGGGGGGCCCTCGCTCGCCATCCAGGCCGTTTCTCCCATACACGGCAGGGCCTGGGTCACCTGAAACACACAAAAAGTTACCCCGGTGAGCAGGAGGATCTTTGCGGCTATAGACTCACAGCCAAGCAGTGTGCTGGGACAGGGCTCCGGAAGTGGTGTGGGCGGAAGAGGAGGAAGCAACTCCTTTATTAGGTTGGGGGAACTCAAAGTAGTAGGAACCCTTGGTGTGTGCAACCCATATTCCACCCGTGGGGCTGTACTGTCCAATACAGACGCCTTGTGTCTATGTGAGGCCACAGACACAGGCGACAGGGACAGAACACGCCTGGAGCTTGAAGATTTAGCATGAAAAACTGTGAAGTAACTCACGAGTAAGGTTTACATTTGCTAGATAACAGAATGATAACATTTTGCACCCAGTGAAGTCAATGAACTCTAGAGAACATCCCCAGTTTATAACGAAGCGATGTTTAAAATGCCAAGAAGTCATAAATGTACCTGAGCTGCCCAACATCACAGCTTAGGAGAGAACCAGGCGTCTCCTGCGAGGCAATGTGGCTGGCAGGGAGCTGCGTGCTGCTGTCACTGCCCGGCATCACAGGACAGTATCAGATGACATAGTTCTAGCCTGGGGAGAGGCTGACGCTCCAAACCTGAACTGAAGTTTCTACAGGAATGAATATCGCTTTCACACCCTCCCAAAGTCGAATGATACCAAGTACAACCATCTTACAAGGGATGATCAAAATGTAGTGTTTAAACTAAAAATTTTATCACAATAAAAGACACCTTGCCCTTAACCCCCCTCAGAACGCTCCCTTTTACTTCAGACTGCTCCCACCATGCTTGCCGCTCTCTGAAGCAGTTCTGGAAGTCTCTTACACGAGTGTTTGTATGGGGTGTGTGTGGCCAAAAATATGGTGAATGTTGCTGCCGAGGAATTCAAAGGAAAGGCAGACTCATGAAACCTTGACGGTGTGTCCTCATTCGCCTGTTTCATCAGCTCTAGCACTGTGTGACTCTGGCCCTTTCCCAAAGTCAGAATGACCATGAAGCGTAAAGGTTTTTAATTGATTTAAGACACCAAAGCAGGGCGGAGCTAAAGCTCAGCGGCGCAGTACCTGCTGGGCAAGCACAAGGTCCTGAGTTTGATTCTTGGTACCAAAAAAAAAAAAAAAATCAGACACCAAAGCAGCCATGATGGTTCGTGAAAGAGGACTCCAGAACTGCTTCACACAGTGGCAAGAATGACGGGATCGGTGTGTTTGAGGCAAGATTTTGAGGGGGATTAACGGCAAGGTGTCTTTTGCTATAATAATTTTTTTAAATGTACACATTTTCAATCCCGCCTCCTCAGCGACCACTTGTATTATGAAACCTAATTCTACCTATTGTGCTCGCCTTTGAGTGTGCTTACGAGACACTCCAAAATCACACACACCGCACCCGCTTGCGGCTCACACCGTGTGAGGGGCACAGCGACCCTGAGTTCTAAGATGCGATCAACATCCAGGCGTGGAAAAGCACAGCTTAGCGGTTAGAAAACACAGCTGTCACTAAAGAAGAACAGATCAGCAAGTCACTCACGCTGTCCTCACCTACAAGGTGGGGTAAGCCCCTCCCTATGATTCAGTTACATGACTGGAGATACCTGCTGAGCGGAGATTAGTACTGTTACTAAGACAGCGTGCATTAACGTCTTTCAGATGACTGTGCCACGCACCCTACAAAAGCCCATCCTCACCTCCTCGGCTTCTCCGTGTGAGGCACAGCAAGCCCACAGGGACATGTCTACGTTTTGTTACACTCACACGTGGCACGTTTTGCTCAGTGAGCACCTTCCCCGAGGTCTGGCAGCCCACCACAGAAAGAACTGCCGCTGACTGTCCCCCACTGCGTCCACCAGAGATGAGGGGACCGCAGCGGCGGCAGCTGACTCCTGCGGTTGGATCTGACACTTACAGGGTGGCACTGGGAAGGGCGGGCCCTGTGGCACTCCCCTGTCTGTAGACAAAGGGCTCATGTGCCACGTGGGTGCCCAGCAGGCGCAGGGCCACACCCTGCGGAACATCTGGAAATGGGCTGCTTGTGTGCACTGGCACCGTGACGGGGTGCTCGGCAGTGCGTGGGGGCAGAGTTGTTAACCTGCGAGGGGTGGCATCACCCAGCACCCGGAGAGCCACAGCGCCCCCTCGAGGATAGCAAGGGCACTTGGGCCCCCTCTGGCTCCAGGGCTGTGATCTGTACCGGAAGAGGGCTGGCGCTTAGAGACGTTAGGAGACAGCCTAATGGGTACGAAACCTGTGTGAAGCGCACGGTTTACGCCTGCTGATAGCAGTGGTTTAAAGAGCCTGACTCCATCTCCGGCTTCGCAATTCGGTTCATCTGCCAAAAGCTGAAAGCAAATCGACATGTTCCACCCCACACACATTCGCTTAGGTGGGCTTTCCTTCTTTCTCGGAGGCTTTCACTTTCTTTTCTATTTTAGCGGTCTTATTACATGTCTTTTGTTTCTCTCACTAGTGGCCTGGGCCTATTTTATAGATCTCCCGCACACAAGGAGGAAGGTAGGTTAGAGACCCTATTTTTTATATAGCATCTCATTTTTCATCATGTGCTTACATTTAGACCTATGCAAAAAAATGTCACAGACCAAACGCACTAGTAAGTTTTAAGTGAGAAAAATTATCTTTGAGTTTCTGTATCTCAAGGATATTTTAGCAGAGATGTAAGTTCTTATCCCATAAGCTTTTGTCCAACTATATTAAGCTCTGGTGAAGCAGATACTTAGGTATTCTCCTGTGTGGGAGAAACCATCTCCCTAACCCACAGTATCTAAGGCTGTCGCAGTCATGCCCTTAGCAAACCTGTTCAAACCCCCTGATACCTAGAGCAGTGAAAGGATGACTTTTTTTTTTAAGGTTTAAAAGATGGGCCAGATCTAGCTACATATGAAAGGTAATTTTCATGCACTTTTTCAGTAGAAATGTTACACACACACATACACACACACACATGCACACACATATACATACACATACACATACGTACATACTGGGTCTGCCTTAAGAAAATGATATCAGTAGTGGGAGGAGAAAATGACCGTAGCCAGAGAAGAGGTTAAAAACCATCGACCTTGGAGGCTAAAGAAGTTAATGCAGCTCAAGTAGAAAAACCTCAGCTCTCAAGCTCAATCACCACTTAAATAGTTTTACGAGAACACAGCCACTGTTGTTTGCTTGTGTATTTTCTGTGGCTGGTCTTTCACTAGAGGGCAGAGTTGAGTACCTGGGACAGAGATCATCTGCCACTCAAAGCCAAAAAAGTATTCTTTCCAGAACAAGCATGCTGACCCCAGTGTCATAAGGAAAAGACCTGCAGTGACAAATCCCGCAATGTCTTCGTCAGAAGAAAACCTGCAGAACAAGAGCAATGAAAGCCAGTCACTGTTACTCCACATCTGTACTGGGGAGACGGCAGGGAGGAGGGGTGCCTGTGGGGACCTGGAGAGCTGATGCCGGCAGTGGTTCTAACATCTGGCGAACAGCTGCGAGGAGAACTGGGGCTCGCTGTTACCAGAACTTCTGATAATTTTCAAGAGAAGCTGGCTTTTACATAAACAGCTCTCGAGTTTTAACTGTAAGCAACTAATTCAAAACTCTAACACTGGTAGAGCAAACGCCCTGCCTGAAACTTTAAATCCAACTTTCAGTCATTCTGTAATACAAACACTAAAGAGCAGAAAGAAATCTTTTTCTTTTAGATTTTCATATTTAGTTTCCCATTTCAACACATTCCAAAAGAATTTTTTTTCACCGGCGAAATTTATGCCAAATTCCTGCTCCCTTTGAAGGAAGAGCTGATGAAGCTATCCTCTCAACCCTCTGATTTATGTCATAAAATAGTGTATCAAGTCCAATTCTGTCTCGGGCAAATGAAGCACTTTGCCTTCTGGAGCTCTGGATATGTTATTATCGTCACTGACACTTTATAAAATATCCCTTTCTCGTGTGCCACACGTGCTCATTACTGACCCTGTTTTCTTCCTGGGTAAACTGAGTCAAGGTGCTTCCACAACTGTCCTCAGGCACATGGCTAGAGACTGCCGGAGTTAGAAACAAGGACCTTAACTGCTACTCTAACCAAACTGTATTTCCAAAACTGACAATTTGCCAGCTCTGCAGGGTGCGTCTGCTACATTAACTGCAGAAAGATTACATAAGTTCCTGAAATGTCAAGGACCTGTACAAATGCGATGCCTAACGAGTCACGGCTTCAAAAAGCATCCATGTCATTCTCCGTGTGAACAGTAGAGGGCAGCCACGTCCCGCTGATGGAGGCCAGTCTGACCCCCGGCACATTGAAAAAGGCAGCCTCGATCCACACCACAGAGCCAGACCGCAACCAAGGGACAAAAAAAAACAAAACGCAAACGATCTTCAGCATCAGATACACATCTCTGATGATTAATCCTTGGTTACGTAAATTTTTTGCATGTGCCACAAAGTTACACTTCTTATACAGAGCTAGGATTATTGTGTGGTGTTTAATCCAGAATTCTAGATATGAGCAATAACTATGATAATATGTTTCAGTGTTTAAAATTTACTACACTAACAGGTGCACTGGCATCCATGCCTCTCATCATACCCCCTCCACTTTAACACACTTATCCCACTGTTCTTGCCGCCTCCGGAAGCAGCTCTGGACGTCCTCTTTCATAAGTGTTGTTAGTTTGCTGCTGTGCTGCCTCCATGCCCTGAACTGATTCAAAACATTAAAGTTTCATGGTCATTTCGATGTTTTGGAAGAGCCAGAAGTCGCACAACGCCAGATCCAGTGACCCTAAGGTGAATTAGGACACACCTTCAATATTTTACGAGTCTGCCTTTTAGTTGAGATTATATCAAGAAAGGAGATCACCTTGTAAAGACATTCACAAAAGAGAAAGCCTAGAATTGCTTCAGGAAGTGGCAAGAATGATGCGGTAAGTGTGTTGACAGAGCAAGGAGTGCTGCCAGGGGGATTAGTGGCAATGTGTCTTTTACTGTAAGGTTTTT